TGGGCCTGGGCGCTGTCCCTCAGCTCTTCAGCTCAAGGCTAGCACTCTACCACTTGAGCCACAGCGCCACTTGCAGCTTTTTTCTTTTTGCTTATGTGGTGCTGAGGAATTGAACCCAGGGCCTCGAGCATGCAAGGCAAACGCTCTACCACTGAGCCACCTTCCCAGCCCCTCTCAGCAAATTTCTATGCTGTGACAAAGTATCAGAGCAATCAGTTTTGTGTTTCAAAATTTATTTTGCTCCATCTCATGGAAGTTCTGTTCAATGGTTAATTATCTGCTTCTTAAGCACCTTTGGTAAGAGGAATCAGTGGAGGATGAGCAAGAACAAGATTTTCACCTCATGGCCACTGGACAAATAAGAAGATGATATTATGGCCTGGAGTTCAAATAACCCTAAACAAGGGAGACTTGAGGATTATATACACTTAAAGCTTCAAAACACATTCTTCCTTTTTTTGCATAGTCTTCTTTCTTACTCCTCATCAGTGCAAATGTGTAAGAGGTAGCAAATAATAATATGAACTCAAGAAACACCATAGGACTGGCAATTAGGGCTTACTTTCTCACGATCAATACCCACAATTCTCAATATTTCAACAGGTTAGATAGAGATTAAGGTTATAACCTATAAGCAGTTCTTGCATGAGGTGGAACTTATAATATAATTCAATAAACTGACCAGATTTATATGCATAAAGTACTATGCTTAATAATCTTATTTTTTAAAATAATGAAATTTTTGGAATGTCATGTAAAAGTATGAAGAGTTATTGACATGTATCTGATTATCTTCAGCCTCCACACTCTGTTTGCAGTGAGAGTTGTGGTCCTGGATTCAGGAAATCCCCTCAGGAGGGAAAGATGGCTTGTTGCTTTGATTGCATGTCTTGCTCAGAGAATGAGATAGCTAATAGAACAGGTAAGTGCATGACTTAAGGAGAAAATACATACTTTCAATTAGTGTTCCCCAATCCAGGCAATGAAGAACTGGTATATTAAGATTACAGAATCAAAGTTTTTCTTCTTTTATTTAATAATCCAATTGTGATCATGGATGATATTGTTATTTGAAACAAAATCAAGACCTCAGAATTATAAAATCACTAATATAATTTAATGTCTATTATATCAAGTGCGAAGACATTTTAAAGCTAAGGTATCAATTAACTTCAAATTTAACTTTACAATAGAAACAAAAGAGATCTTCCACATCTTTATTTCCTAGTGCCCAGAAATGTTCTCGCAACAGGGCAAGTTTTCTGTTGATTTTTGTGTAATAATCAGGCACAAAGTTTGTACATAGCTTGAATTCAGAGCTTCAAAAAATGATTTGATTTTTGTTGACCAACACTTTACATATAAGTAGGAGAGACAAATATAACAACTGCAAGGAGGGGCTAAGTGGCTCCTTTTTATTTTTTAAAGAGGCATACAGGGAACTTCAAACTTTTCTATGCACACTTCTGTATGACAGACTGGAGGAGTGCACAGGAGGCTGAGAATAATTATAGCAGAAGGCAGAAGTGTAGAAATATTTGGATATTAGAAATAGCCAGAAATAATATGTGTGATAGTCACACATATTATTAAAAATAGATAATGTGGGAGTGTGTCAGAATATAATGAAATGCTACTGAACATATCTGGTAATAATTGGAAATAGTTCCTTATATGATATTAAGTATTGAATAGTTAGAATTTTCTCTATGTATGGATTTCCTAATTTCCTTTTAAGAAATAAATAAGGGACTGATGTTTATTTGATTACCTCACTAGATATGGAGCAGTGCGTGAACTGCCCATTTCATCAGTATGCCAACAGAGAGAGAAACCAGTGCCTCCAAAGAGCTGAAAGTTTCCTGGCTTATGGAGAGCCCTTGGGGATGGCCTTGGCTTGCATGGCTCTTTGTTTGTGTTCACTCACAGCATTTATTCTTGGAGTCTTTGTGAAACATCAGAAAACCCCCATTGTCAAGGCTAATAACCAGGCTCTCAGCTACACCCTGCTCATCTCCCTCATCTTCTGCTTTCTCTGTTCCTTGCTCTTTATTGGCCGTCCCAATAAAGTCACCTGCATTCTACAGCAAACCACATTTGGAGTTGCATTCACTGTAGCTGTTTCTGCTGTCTTGGCAAAAACTGTAACTGTGGTTCTGGCCTTCAAGGTCACATCTCGAGGGAAAAGGATGAGGTGGCTTCTGGTATCAGGGGCCCCTAACTTCATCATTCCCATCTGTACATTGATTCAGGTGATTCTCTCTGTTCTTTGACTAAGGACTTCACCTCCCTTCATTGAGACAGACATACAATCTGAACATGGCCACATTATCATCCTGTGTAACAAAGGCTCTCTCAAAGCTTTCTACTGTTTCTTAGGATACATGTTTTGTCTGGCCCTGGGCAGCTTCATGGTGGCTTTTCTGGCCAGGAACCTTCCTGACACCTTCAATGAAGCCAAATTCCTGACCTTCAGCATGCTGGTCTTCTGCAGTGTCTGGATCACTTTCTTGCCTGTCTACCACAGTGTCAAGGGGAAAATCATGGTAACTATAGAGATCTTTTCCATCTTGACTTCCAGTGCAGGGCTACTGGGCTGCATCTTTGTCCCAAAGTGCTACATCATCTTGTTAAGGCCAGAGAGAAATTTTCTGCATGGTTTTAGGAAGAAAACACACACTGGGAAAAACAATCCCTCTTAATGTTATCCTTACTTGTATCATCAAATGTATAGATGGTTGAAATTAAATCTTCATTATTTTTTCCCATCTTAGATTATTTTGTATTGTTGAAATAAATTCAATGAAGGAGTGACTTTTACTCATTTCTCTAGTAATGATACAGTAAAAAATTGTAGCCAGAGTATGGTGAATTTGAATTTCATTCCACATATTTTTGGTTCTTTCTGTTTGGCTCTGTACTCATACAATCACTACTACCAGTGCATTTAACTGTTTCTAGTTTTCTTATTGTGCGTTCTTAAACCTTTGCCTAAAATTTCCTTCTTTTGCTAGTCTTGGGTCTGCTAGTCCTTTACCACTTGAGCCATAGCTTCACTTTTGACTGTGGTGGTTACTTGAAATGAGCTTCTTATTATTTTCTTGCCCAGGTTGGCTTTGTAATGTGGTCACCAGATCTTATCTTGTGCAGCTGTGTTTATGGGTGTTTTTCTAAACTCTTAAATGTAGTATCTCCCTGCCTGTACATCACTGGTCTTCTTGATCACAATTTATTAATATTTTCCTCTTTTAAATGTTCCATGATTGGGCTGGGAAGGTAGCTTAGTGGTAGAGTGCTTGCCTTGCATGCATGAGGCCCTGGGTTGGATTCCTCGGCACCACATAAGTAAAAAGAAAAAAGCTGGAAGTGGCGCTGTGGCTCAAGTGGTAGAGTGCTAGCCTTGAGCTGAAGAGCTAAGGGACAGCGCACAGGCCCAGAGTTCAGGCCCCACGACTGGACCTACCCCCTCCCCTCAAAAAAGTTGTATGATTTCATATACTTATTAGAGTGTATTTTCCTTAGTAGTTGGGAATTCCATTCACACATCTGCCTTTTACCATATTCCTCAATCTGTTTTGTTGAATCAGTCTCTCCTATGATTGATTCCATTAACTCTCTTTTCCTTTCCTTCCCTGTCTTCTTTCTTCTTTTCTACTTTCTCTACATTGTTTTAGAATTTCAAGAATGGATTGTATATTTTATGAAAATATACTTCAATTGTATATCATGATTTAATGACTTTATGAAGTAAGAGTGAAGGAAAATAAAGATTTATAATATATTGCTTACCAATGGCTGGGTATGTTTTTCAACTTATTCATGTATAATCACTTTAAAAATAATATGTACAAAATTATATACATTTTATCTGTCTACAAAATTACTTACATTTCAATGGACTACACTTTTCTCTGTATATCCTTTTTTCTTTTTAAGTTATCAATTTATCTTATATCTGTTAAGTACAAGTGAATGTTATATTTCTAATATTTAAATTTTATAAGAAATGCATTATTCATTATTAAACAGGCTGAATTATTGAGTTCTATGCAATGATTAAAGAAACACATGACTACTTAAGACATACAGTTAGATATGGTATGCCTTTCTGCCCCCCCTTATGCCTTTCTTTCCTCTGGCATTTGTAATCTTCTTTGAAAATACATTATGAAGGTTTTCAATTCAACATGTCAATTATCAGTACAATGACATTTGATATCTACTTCATGGACTTCATTGCTTTAGTTTTAAATTGGAATTATTGGTCAAATAAAGACTCTGCATTGTGTCTATATTCCTTTCAAAAGTCATGCTACTTAACAAGTATTGCTACATTATTATCATTTTCATCAGGAGATGATGAATATATTTTACTATCTATTAAATTTCATATTCCATCTTTTTCTCTTGATTTTAATAACTTCATCAATAGAAATGTATTATTATTGATGAGCAATACATGCATTACTCATTCAGTAGCAAGCAGTTAATACTCATCACAACATAAGAGACCTCAAACTATCTATTATGCACAAGTGAGAATGCATTTTTGGCCACCAGGAATGAGAGCAAGCTGTCAAGAGTGAGTAAGAAAAAAAGATGAGAGCTGATTAATAAGACATTCTGTCAATGTTGTGCAAATATTATAGTCAATTTTAGAGGTGAAGTTCTGGTGTTGAAATTGCTGATAATAAAGCAAAGAAATGATGACTTTCAAAGGATTGATACCCACTTAAAATGAAAAGTCATGAGATGAGCAGGGCAGTCAAGTAGGAAATACCCCAGAGTAGTGCATATTAAATATACACATATACACAAACACACACACACACACACACACACACACAAACACAGAAAAGAAAAAAAATGATGTAAGAAGTAAAGAAATAACATAAAATACAATCCATAATATCAATGTTGGAGACAGAAAACAGACTCAGGCAGGCACTGGTGGCTCATTGTAATCCTAACCTCAGCTATTCAGGAAGCTGAGATTTGAGAATGAGTGTTTAAGCTAGCCCTGGCAAGAAATAAATGAGACAGTTATCTACAATTAACCACCGGGGAACCGGAAATAGAGCTATAGTTCAAATTTTACAGGGCTAGCCTTGAGCACAAACGAGATTGGGGACAGCACTTATGCCCTAAATTCCACATCTTTCCCTTCACTAAAAAAATATGACTCATAAGCTGTAAGTTGTTTCAAATGAAATAACTGAAAACAGAGATTAAAAAATCAAATGTAGGGGGGGAGAAGGATTGGGACTGGGTGGGGGGAGAGGGGAGGCTGGGAAGGGATGTGAAGGACAAACAAAGGAGGAGGCTGCAATGCTTGGTAAGAAATGTACACATTATCCTGCCCGTGTAATTGTAACCCCTCTGTACAGTATGTTCACAAATAAAATAAAAAAAAATCAAATGTATTTTGGTGATCTGCTAAAGACACAAATAAAGCGAATTTCAAGATAATCCAGGAGCTTTAATGGTACTTTTAAAAGACTCTAATAATTGAGACCATACTAGAAGATATGGGTGCTGGAAGGTGCTATGGGATGCAGAGGTCCAGATAGTGTTGCTTGAAGATCATTATGCTACTTGTTTGGTACTAAGCTGTTGTCACATAAAACCCTGGAAGGACCACTGTATGTGGCAAGTGTGTGCCACCATATTGGCTGCTACTTGCCCAGTTGTTCAAAAGAGAACAGATAAGGACCTATTATCACAAATTGAGATCAAAGTTTCCAGAAAAGTTATGAGAGGCAGTTTTTGAGAGAAATGGTACCTCTCTTTAAAGTCGGCTGTCTAAATGAAGAATACACCATATATAGCTATGTTTGCTAGAGAATGATGGTTGGATGAAAATGGAAACATTCTGTATTAGCACATTATTCTTCAAAAAATGCCATGCAACAATGTAATTGTATTACCTAAATTTGAAGTTAGTAAAAGCATAATAGATAGGTTGTAGGCAATAAAACAGTATGATTAAGCCATGGTAAAATGCATAAATACCATAACAGCTACCTCAAGAGGACTGAAATAAAGTAAAAAGCAGCCAAATTAAACTAGTATATCCATCACATTTATAATCTGGAAGTAACTACTACATTCTGACATACCTCTTTTAGAGTACTGTTACACGTACACTTTTGGTCATTTTTAACCAATCTGCTTTTAGTGACAACTGAACAATCTAGTCTTAACTTTTCTGCCCCAATTCTTCTACCTAAAAGGAAGAAAAGGTTAAAGGAAAGTAGTGGAGTATACTTCCTCTCCTTACTCCAAAGTGATACCCTGCCTCTTTAAAAGCAAAACAGTAACACTGTTTTCTTAGAAGAGAGACATAAAAAGTCTTTTTTAAACTATGGTAGGAAATAGGTTATAATGTAGTATGTATAGGGACTTACAAATACCTTGAATTCACTAGTGTCCCATCATACACTTACACTAAATTGTAATAAAGATTTATCAAAAACATTTGTTTCAGCTGGGTGCCAGTGGCTCATGGCTGTAGTCTGAGCTACTCAGGAGGCTGAGATCTGAGGATCATGGTTCAAAGCCAGGCAGGGCAGAAAGGTCCATGAGACTCTTATCTCCAGTAAGCCACTAGAAAATGAGAAGTGATGCTATGGCTCAAATGGTAAAGCACTGGCCTTGAGATGAAGAGCTGAGGGACAGTGCCCTGGCCCGGAGTTCAAGCCCCAGGTCAGACTAAAAAAATGAAGGGTAATGATTCCTTGGAATGAAGCTAACACTTTCATACCTAGTTTAAACCTAAAGGAAAAAAGCGAGTTTATGGCCTAAGTTTATATAAATATTTTACATTTAATTCCAAACACAAGGAATTTGAGTCTTATGTTTTCTTAAAGGTTGCAACACATATGTTAAACATCCCTAATTTTAAATAAAAAGTTTTAGGCTAAGAAAATAAGAACCAACAAAATCCTGCAGCGTGTTATTACATTGCCATAGAAAGAAAATTTCCTGACTACTTCTAACAGTAAGGAGAAGAGGTAAAGTATGGAGATGGAAACTTTCGGGATTTGCCTAAATTTTATTGTAAAATAAGCCAAACAGATTTCACAAATGCCCTACCACTTCAGAAATTTCCATATGTAAAGATTCCTACACTAGAAAAAAGTGAACCCGATGTCAGAAGTTATGCCATTTTATTATGCAAATTTTCCCTTTATAATGACAGTGAAATAATAAAGTATGAAAATAAAATGTAGATATAAATAATATAATTTTGAGTAATGGAAAAGGGAAATAACTTATTTCTGGAAATGAAACAAATCTTGGATGCTAGAATAATTCAACAAGATTTTTTACCAACTGTTAGAAGAATGATGAAAGAACTCAGGCATTATAGTAAGAAACAAACCTTAGCAACAAGGGGAAATTATGTTTATATAAGAAATATCAACAAACACTTAGAGATCATCAAAAACACCACCAAGAAATTATGTTTTTATAAAGTCACTTAAAGACATTAATGGAGCACTAGAGCAAAATGAAGAAAAAAAATCACATGTGCAAGAGTTTATACTTGGTGAACTACCAGATAAAGTTTTCTCCTGTATGATTAGAGGAAAAGCAAAAATATCTGAGAATCTAAGATAGACAAAATCATGAGCTGTGGTAAGACTATAAGAAATAAAGTAGCCTGGCATCAATGGATCATGCCTATAATACATGCTAC